TCATGTTCAGGCTGCATGTGGCCCCTGTGCTGACCCTGTTCCAGGTGCAGTGGTGTGATTACAGCTGTCCGACCTCTTGCATCATTGGAGGCTCAGCTCGTCCTGATAATAGCGTAGTTGTGTTTACTGTCCTTGCAGCTCTGGCAATTGCATCTCGTTACACCACTTTAATTATTCAAACACTGACATTAGGTTAATGAGATTTAGAAAATTCAAAGAAAAAAAAAAGAATTCTTTCAATTTAAATGTCTCTTATTTAGCTCTTCTCATGAGCTGTGTTTTCTTACAACACATTCTTCATTGTGTCACAACCACAGTCATGATGTTTTTCCAAAATCCCTGGAAGACACTCCCAGGCTCTGCTTCTGCCAGACATTTTGTTATAAAAAAGAAAAAAAAAACCCACCACATTTCTAATACTTCATAGAATCATTGATGTTGGAAAGGAATAAGATCATCTGGTCCAAACATCAGCCCAGCGCCACCATGCACGGTGACTACATCCCTCAGTGCCACATCTCTACGTCCTGAACACCTCCAGGGACGGTGACTCCCTCAGCTCCCTGGACATCCTGTTTCAATGCCTCAGCACTCTTTCTGAGAATATTTTTTTCCTAATATCCAACCCGAACCTCCCCTTTCTCCACAGCATTGAAAGATGCATCTTCAGCATGGTGAGCATTAAGTACTGGAATGCATGTAGTAGATGAGCACATCAGCTCTTTGGGTTGAGCCTCAGTAATTCTTGGTGCTTGGAGACTGCTGGCAGTGTCACTGTTGAGTTGTCACATTATGTCATGCTGTCACTCAGAGTCAGGAAATTCATTTTGGTGTCTATGGACAAGAACTGAATCATACATGTAACTCTGGGATTCAGACCTCACGCCACCTGGAAGAATAATCCAGGAGCAGTTTGACTTCACGTCATCAAAGAGCCTTTCTGCCAACTCACAGTTATTGGAGAAGCTCTTGGGGAGCCTGCAGCACAGCGGGTTAAGTGCACGAGGCCTCTTGCATCACCCCTTGGTGCCTGGCTGGCTACCTGACCACATCCTACCTATGAGGAACTCGAGCAGAGTTACACAGTCTGCCCAAAGCCCCACAGCAACTAAACCCAGAGCACAGGCCTCTTGCTATAGCAGCTGGACAATGCTATCTCACTGGCACGATTTACTGAAAACTGTGCTGGCACCTGGGGAGCTATCTTGTTTTGCATGGAAGCTGTACCTCTCTGTGAAAACTGGCTTTTCCAGCCAGGAAGGGCACGTGGCGTCTGTCTCTTGCCGAGAGGCTTCATTGCACTCAATCCTGCAGACGCTGAGATCTCGTTGGTTTGTTGTTGTGCATAACCAGTTTTAAACTGCAATCTGAAAAGAGCTCCTCAGTTGGATGTAACAGCAGATTCACAGTTACAGTGCCTCAGTATGCAAAGTGGACTCCTGCACCTGGCTCCTGTGAGATGCTGTCTAGTGCAGCAAGGCCTCCCGCAGCATGGATTCATTCAGCAGGGCTCTGCTGGCACAGAGTGCTGGCATTCGCTATGTGTGTCCTAAGCAAGCAAGGGGTGCACAGAGCCCAAAAGACATTTGATCTTCTTTCGGAGGTATTTGGCACTTTTTTTTATCTCCTGAGGCCATTCTGAGTAATGTGGAGAAACTCTGGGCTCAGAACTTGTAAGAAACACCCACGGCTGAAAAGAATTACAGTGCGGGATCAAATGCTTTGTACTGCAAAGAGCAGGAGCTCTTTCTGAGGTAATGGTAATGCACAATTGGATGGAGTCTTGCGGATGAAATCCAAGGACATTTTAGAATGATCTGATTTGTATTTCTTGGTGCTAAGCTGATGTTATTAATTCTTTTGTAACTCATCACAACAAAACAAAGATAGTGCTTTCTATTTTGGGAAGCTGATGAATCAGTGGGAAAGCCAAAAGGAAATAAGTGGATCCCTGCTAAGACCAGAAATGCCTCAGAGATGGTTAGTGCATGTCTGCAGACTCTGGCTGTGCAAAAAAAATTCAAGAAAGGGTTTAAGCATGGCTGGTCCCACAACAAAACATGCTGCGAGCAAGCAATTTAAGGAGGAAGCTCTGCAAGCTTCTAATATTTCATCACCATCTGTCATTTCCACGTGATTTAAAATACGGATGTGCTACCAACAGAGAGACCTACTTATCCCTTCACCAGGCATTAACTGACAGTCATTACACAGATAAATCCAGTGCAGGAAATAAATCATAGCACCAAGGTACGTTTGTCCTAAACTCAGCCTGCAGTGGGTGCAGAACAACTTCTGACTGAGCAGCAGCTTCCCCTGCACTGAGTGTTGCTTAAGAGCACTGGCCAGCATGTGGGATGCCCACCACTGTGACATCACCATTGAAATAAAGAACAAAAACTGGAAGGGCTAATAGCCACAGTAATAACCTATCCGGGTTAGGAATCTCATAAATGGTGTGCAGGAGTTTCTTAAGTGTAACAAAGACAAGTTCAGTGCCGAAGTCAAAAATCCCCAGGTCTTTTCTTCGCTGAGTGATGGGTCCACTTCTCTTGAGATAGGCACGAGATGTGCTCCTGGAAAGCCTCCAACCACAAGGCAAGGCTGAAAACAGAGAGCGTGGCTCCTGGCCGTGCTACAGGTGTACCAGGGTCTTCTGTTAGAGAGTGCTGAAGGAGAGGACAGGTTTGGGCAGGAGCAGTGAGCAGTGCTGGGCTTTTTCCAGCACAAGAAACAAACACGAGAGGACAGCCAGCTCTGACAGAAAACACTTGATGAGTGCTTCAGGAGGAGAAAATCATTCACCTGATGACATGAGGACGTGCACTGCTGCCCAGCGCTCTGTACAGCACTGCCCATGGAGGTGCCCCCTACCCAACAGCCCCAGCTCACAACTCCACTCTGAATGCAGGATGGAGGCGTTCTCAGAAAACCCACACGGCCTTCTGACAGGGTTTTCATTTTGGATGGAGTCAAGGAAAAGAGCTCGAAGCACGGCTAAAGCTCACCATTATTTCTTAACGTGGCAGGGATTTACAGTGGCTTCCTGCCAATGAACATTTTAATAACACCTGGTTTTGCTCTCCAACAATATGAAATGAATGGATTGCATCTTGACAGTTCCTAAAGGAAAACAAACTTTCCCCTGTCTATTCAAGGACTCTTTGTGAGAGGGCTGATGTTTTCAGATCACAGTTCCTCCCCAGAAAACCAAACCCCAGCTTCTTCCAGTCCAGTCTGAAGGATAACAAACTCCTAACCTCCATCTCCCCAGCTCTGTCAGCCAAATTGTGGGGCTCCTGGTCACATCCAAACTGGATTCTTGAGTTTGCTCACTTCAGTACTTTAGAAACACAGAAACAGGTCTCTGGCACTTGTTCTGCATAAGTCTGGAGGGAGCTGGTCCTACTCACAAATGTAGTTTGCTGTTTGGAAAATAGCATTACAGACTGTGACTTACAACGGGATCAACTAATTTGATGTCATTAAGTCAACACTGCAGAAAGCTCTGCACTAACCAAAGGCAGAGGAAGGAAAGCAGGAAAGGAAGTGCCTAAGCTTGATGTTAAACCTAACGTCGACTTTCAGCCAAGGACATTTTGCACATGGACACATATGTGAGAGTGTGGTTTTTTTTGTGCTGGGTCTGCTCCCACACCTTGTATGTTAAACAACATGGCAGGGCTTGTGCCTAAATTTGAGGCAGGAAACTTTGGAAGCAGATGTGTAAGGAAAGATGAATGGCTGGGAGGTTCCTTTACAGATATGCTGGGCTCGTGCTGCATACAAGTGATTGATGTTCATGCAAACTGCTTGGAGTGATAGTTTGCAAGTGATTTGTATTTATCTCTTTGTGGAAGAGGAAGAAGGAGTCGGAGGCACCCCTGCAACTCTTGGTGATGTGGCAGGGAACAGCCAGACATGTACAGCGCATGCTGAGTGCTGCAAAACTAACAGGGGAGAGCTGCCCAATCACTTCCTGCTTTTATGATACTTGAAGTGCTGGAGCATGGTGGAAGTATGAGCAGGTCATTGCTCCCGAGATCACTTCTTTTTTATCTGCAATGCAAATACAAATGTCAGTTCCCTTAAGGAAATCCCTGAGCCACCTTTGTGCCCAGCTAGTCTCGCAAGGAACTGCTGTTGCCTTGCCTGCTGGGCTCCAATGGCAGCAGTGGTGGGGACAGCCAGGAGGGTCACTGTGTCTCCACTTCGTGATGTGGGGTATGGTATCACAAGGAGGAAGGGAGATGTGGGATAAGAGCCTCTCCCAGGGACTTCACAGCCGTAAGGCCCAGGATCTCATCTCCTTTCTGGGCCTGTCTCAGATGCAACCCGAAGGTTTGACTGCGCCAGAAAAATACGTTACACTAATTGATCAATGCATAATTTTAATGTAACAGTCACTGTAAGCAAGGATGGCCACGTGTGACGCGGTTGCTGACCCAAGGTGACCCAGACATGGTGGCTTTCACCTCCTGAAGCACTTTGTGCAGCCTCAATTAACAAGTCCTAACACTGTAATTCCGTAACACACACACATCCCACGGGGCATTCATTCTCTAAAAGTCACCTTTGGCCCTGCCTGCCTTTGGCTCCCAGGCATGCACTACCTCCACACAGACCCTATTCGCTCCTGAGAGCACTAACACTGAAAGTAAGTAATTCTGCCCATCTATGAACTGGAAGTCGTTTGTGGATGCCCCATCCCTGGAAGCATTCCAGGCTAGATGTGGCTCCGGACAGCCTGGTCTGGTGGCTGATGGCCCTGCACAAAGCAGGGGGATTGAAACTAGATGGTCTTTGAGGTCCTTTTCAACCCAGGCCGTTCTGTGATTCCATGAAGTCCACTCGCACAGCTCCCAGCGCACACGGCCATACCGAGCAACAACCAACACACACAGCCCCACCGCGCGCGCCGCGCGTCCCCTCCCCGCGGGAGCGCGCCCCGCCGGCCCCGCCCCTCCGTCACGTGCGTTAGCGACAGCCGCCGCCGGCGCCGATTGGGCGCGGGGCGGGGCAGCCCGTCAGCTGTGCGCGCCGCTATAACAACAAAGGGCTGCGCGGGGCGCGGAGTTGGCGCGGCTGCGGCGCTGGGAGCGGCGGTGCCGTGCGGTCCGGAGGTGAGTGCGGGGCCGGGCGGTCCCGGCTCGCTTCTCGGCCCCGAGCGCCTCCCGCCTGCCCGTCTCTGTCGCACCCGGAAGGGCGGCCGGGGAGACCGGCTCGCCACCGCTTTGTCTCCGCCGAGCGGGGTGGCTGCGTCCCGGAGGAGCTCCGCGGGGTCCCGTACTCTGCGCTCCGCCCGGGTCGGTGGGGTCGGGCAGCGCCGCCCGCCGCGCAGCGCTCGTAGTCAGACCGGGAGCGTCTGGGAGCCGCCTGGTGGCAGCGGGAACAGCCGGCCCAGCTACAGCGGGAGAGGAGGAGTGCTGACGGCCCGGGGGTTCTTCTGTTCTTCGGCTCTTTCTTTTCTTTTCATTACGTTCGTTTCTTTTCCCCGGCGCGTCCCTCTGCCCCTGCAGTCGCGCTGTGCGCTGGGCGGGGCGCTGCTCGTTCAGCCGCCCTCATCCAACCGCGTCCTCAGCTTCGGTCACGGCGGCCCCGTGCTCTGCTGCGGGCGTAGGGCTGAGCGGTTGGAAAGCTGAACGGAGGAAAGGGTCTGGGCGTGTTAGCTGACAGCCTGCTGAACGGGAGCCAACAGTGTGCCCAGGTGGCCAAGAAGGCCAACGGCATCCTGGCTTGTATTAGAAATAGCCCTGCCAGCGGGAGCAGGGAGGTGATCGATTCTGTGCTCAGCTCTGGTGTCTGCATCTTGAGTGCTGTGCTCAGTTTAGGGCCCCTCAATACGAGAGAGACATCGAGGTGCAGGAACGTGTTCAGGGCAGCAGAGCTGCGAGGGGTCTGGAGCTGAAGTCTTGTGGAAGGTGGTTGAGGGAGCTGGGGTTGTTCAGTGTGGAGAAGAGGAGGCTCAGGGGGCGTCTTAGTGATGCCTGAAAGGAGGCTGGTGTAACATGGGGGTTGGCCTCTTTCTCAGGTAACAGTGACAGGACTAAGGGGAATGGCATTACATTGTACTGGGAATGTTGAGGTTCGATATAGGGAAAATCTCAGGAGGAGTGGTGAGGCACTGGCACAGGCTGCCCAGGGGTTTGCCTCTTCTTCCAGATAACAGCAGTAAGATGACAGGGAGTGGCATTAAGCTGTGCCAGAGGAGGTTTGGGTTGGATGTTAGGAAAAGTCTCTTCTCAGAAAGAGTGGTGAGGTATTGGAAGAGGCTGCCCAGGGAGGTGGTGGAGGCACGGTCCCTGGAGGTGTTCAAGAAATGTATTGGTGTGGCACTGAGGGATGTGGTGAGTGGGCATGGGTTGAGAGTTGGACTAGTTGACTGTTACCAGCCTTGTGTGATTCTTCCCTGCTTCTCCCACTGCTGACTCTCAATAACAGTGTTACTGCTTGGTGTCCGGTGGCCTGGTATCAGCGTGAAAACATGGCGTGTTTCAAAAGCTCTTATATAGAAAAATGCAGTTTCAGGTGTTATCTTGAATCTTCCTTGGGGTGTAGAGGAGGAAACAGCACACTGACATTGGAAGCCAGTGTGCCTCATCAGTGTGGTCTGAGGGCTGTGGGTGAGGTGGCATGCAGGCCTTGGTAAAGGATGCAGCTTGCAAGGAGTACTGTTGGTTGGTTTTGTCTGCTGTGGTGTCTGTCCCATTCTGGATAGATATCTGCATATCGTTTTCCTTGGTTAATTATTTAAGCAGGTATTTATCTGTAAGAATTCCAACAAGCTGAAGTAATTCAAATGTTGTTCTGGTGAGATGAGTGCTCAGTCCCTAAATTTTTCTCACACGTAGCTGTTACTTATTCAGCTGGCTTCCATTCCTTGGGTTACACATGGATATCCAAGGGCTATCAGCATGCCAGTGTGGGGACAACTGGCTGCTCAGCTCTCAGCAACAATGGGATGCCCTCATCCCAACCACTGTGTGCAGGGCTCAGGCTTGCTGGCTGTCATTACACCTAGATCTAGAGAAGTATGCAAGAAGCATTACTGTAATTAAACCAAGTCACCTCTCTTCATTCCTTGGAGTCAGTGAGGTCAGGGTGCTGAGGAAGGGTTTGGTGGGCTTGTGTTCTGTGTAGAACACCTAGAGGTGTGGGCCAACAGTAGAGTGAAGCTTCTTACGGGAGGAGGACCTGGGAGGAAGGCTTTGGAGGGATCTGGGCCTCTTCTGTGTGTCACTGGGATGCCAGTAGGGCTGCTTCCTCCTGGGAAAGACTTTTGCTGGTCCCTCACCCTGCACCAGTGAGAGGACTTCAGCTTGCTGCCCTCAGGACACTCTCTGTTGCTTTGTCACTAAGACCCCTGTCACTGTTTTTTGCAGGTTTAACACAAACTGTTTACCAGCCATGACTCTACATGTCCTGTACCGAAACTAGTAAAGCATCTGTGCACTTTAATCTCAAGTCTATGCCACCGTGCTAGAACAGTGTGAGCTGTGCCTTGAACCTTGGATATAAAGATCTACCAGCCAAAGTCTTGTTCCTGCCTTAGTAATGTTCCAGAGGTTAAATAACATGTTCATGGGAGAGATTGATGGCTTGTCCAGCCAAGAGCCAGAGTTCAGTGAGAAAGAAGATGACGAGTGGATTCTAGTTGACTTCATAGGTAAGGTGCCTGTCAGACCTGAGCTCTAGCCCGTACTGGTTGTGTTTCCATGTGAAGAAACCATACAGACAACAGAAACTTGGTGAAGGCAAACCTGATGGAAGTGCAGGGTGCCTTCTGAACACGTGCACCAAAACGTGTTATGTAAACTGGTAAGAAAAATTACATGGGGTTTATAAGCCTGACGTGAGCTTCAGCAGAATCACTTGTGCAGATAAAATGTGCTTGACTTATTGCACAGTTGTATTGCTCGGCTGATAACAGCTGCTTTACGTGTCTAAACTGCGTTGTCAGGGAACTCCCTTTTCCCCTCCCCTTGGCTCATAAAAACTTGTGTACATACTGATAGGGGTTTGTTTCTGTTTTTGTTTCATATCCTGTTTCTGGCTACGTGTGACCTTGCTGTGTTTGTCTTTCTGCAATCACTGATGTCGGTGGCTCCCCTGATCACCTGCAGCAGACACTTGCACTAACTGCACCACGGAGCAAGATGACATTGCTGAAACATCACCTGCAGGCAGCTCGCCTGTCTTCACCTGCCTGCCATCTCCTCTGGAGCACTTGCCTGAGGCCGGCGAGTCGTGCTTCATCCAATTTGAGTCGTGTCCCATGGAGGAGAGCTGGTTCATCACCCCTCCACCATGTTTCACTGCAGGTGGGCTGACTGCCATCAAAGTAGAAACCAGCCCTATGGAGAACCTCCTCATTGAGCACCCAAGCATGTCTGTCTATGCTGTCCACAATGCCTGCCACAGCCTCAGCGACACTGGATGTGGGGACGAGGAATTCTGCAGACCGGGCAGTCCCAGGTACCTTTGCTTTCTGCCAAGTAAATGCTGCTTGTCTGCTGCTAAATATATCTGGTTTCTACTTCATCAGTATAGACACTTAATACTGAATTTTCCAGCTTATTTCAGAGCGAGTGAATAACATGAATACTACACAGGTTGGGTAGGGTGATCAGGGCTGCCTGCCTAGAAAGATGTTATAAGAGATGACTGTGCTAGGAGGAAATGAGGTGTGCAGCTCTTACACTGAGAGGTGTAAATACACTGAGAGGTGTATTTACGGAGCCCAGTGATTCCTTCACAGAACACACTCAAGTTCTGTGGAGACTGGTGGCAGTTACCTGTGCAGCTGATTGTGTACGCTAGAAGATGCTTTGCCCCCTTTGTAACTAGAAGAAAAGTCATTTAGCCAGAACATATGGAATTTTTTATTATAAGGATAGGAAAGCACTGGAACAAGTTGTTCAGAGAGGTGGTGTATGCCCCATCCTTGGGGGCATTCAGGGTCAGGGTGGGTGGGGCTCTGGGTGACCATATCAAGCAATAGATGTCTCTGTTCATTGCAGGTGAGTTTGGCTACGTTGCCTTTACAGATCCTTCAAACTCAAATGATTCTATAGCCATGTGTATTTTACCATAAACATTAGTCAGTACCCTTTCTGTCACCTTGAGTTGAAAAATGTTACTCCAGCAGTCCTAATAGGGAAGTCCATTTCTTTTTGTCACTCTCAACCTAGTAATAGGTTGGGATAGAAGACACAGCTTGTGGAACAGACCCAAACTGAAATACTTAACAAAACTTGCATCTCTCAATGTGAGAATTTGCACTGCAAACTTCTACCAAGGTGAGAAGTTGTGCTGTTCTAACCTTGAGTTCTAAAGACCTTGCCATTTGAGATTACTGTGGATGTGTTTTCTTGGTGCACTACTCCCTTGCTGCCAAGTGCCCAGTATTTGCATCTAGACCATATATCATGTGTATATGCATGTACATATATTTTTGTTGCTGTCACTACACGTTTGCCTGTGTTCCATTAATTGGAGTTAGTGGAATGTTTTGGGCATCCTGGTTGACAACAAAGTGACTTAAATTATAGAAATCTTTGTGTGGGAAAACAATGAAAGTGCAGAGAAGCTGCTGTAGGTAGATGCCCAATGACTTTGGGTCAGGTCCTTGTCATGTTTAAACTGCTCACTTCAGAGAAGTGAGTGACTGAGATGGTGCACATGGCTGTGTTTTGAGCACAGTGCTGGTACCAGTACATGTACAGAATCGCATGCCGTGCCTCGTGATTATCTGAGGAGGGCAGTTTGTGATATCAAAAACTGAGGATCTAGCTGAACTTAGGGGGAAGCTATGTGTACTCAGCACCTTTTAAAATTTGGGTTAGGAGGAGTCTGCAGGACAACCGTAGGCTCTTAGGCATGGCCTGGTAAAGGAAAGACCAGCTTTGATGAGTCGTCTCCAGTGCATGGTAACACCCGCAGTCAGATACTGGCTTCTCTGGTGACTTCTTTGCAAGAGGTAATGATATAAATTATTTGGGAGAAGAATCTTGTGTTATGTTATGCAGTGGAGTTAGGCAACCTTAATGTGTTGAGTGTCTCAGCTTTAGTTTCCCAAATGGCGTATGATTAAGTTTCCACATGCTGTCTTCTCACTTGTTACCTTATCAGAGGATCTAGACCTCTGTATAAAACATCACTATTTGGGGTGGCAGAACTGGGGGTTGATCTCAAGTCTAAAGCTGAGGGAGATCTCAAACTGGGAAAATCAATTGCACTGAAAGCACAGTAGGCTTTGAAAGCTGTCTTTAAGTCCCCAGTGGTTTAATGGTTGGCCGTTTAATGTTGTAGGGCCAAGAAAAGCTGCTTAAGGCACACTGGCACAGTAAGTACTGCTGTTTTGGGATAGTGCTGCTTGTGTGATCAGTTTGCTAGCAACACTGCTTCCTCTAGAGCCTTGTATGCCAAAACAATATTCCTTTTTAGGACTAACCTTTGTGCTGAATAATGTAAATTGATCGAGCCTAACTGCATCTGCTTTAACAAGCCCAAATGCTAAGTGCAGAAAAATTAAAATATTTAAAATATTAATTGGTGTGGGGTCTGAATCCTTTAATGTTTCTTGTGAGATCTGGCTATGTATTCTAACTGTAGTAGCAGTGCTTTCTAGCAGTACAGATGCTGGGCACACAAAGTATATGGAGCATCAGGCTGGCGTTAGATATAGCCCCTCTAAAAAGATGTTTTTGACCATGTGGTCAGAGGCTCATCAACCCAGTTCTCCCAGTGCCTGGGGCTCACTAGGGCCAGACTATCAAAGGCAGCCACTGAGATACCAAAATACAGAACTTTCATTTTGGAAGTCTTCATTTGTTCCTTCTAAATTCCTGCCAAAGTAAAAGGATGGCACAAACTTTTCCTGTGTTCTTTCAGTCAGTTGTATTTTCTCCCATAATAAGTCACAACACTTAGGATTAGCAGTTAATGCACTTCTTTAGCTAATGACACAAAGTAAAAGTGTGTTTAGGAAAAACACATTGCAATAACATCCTGTGGTATGGCTTTCTAACTTTTTAAGGCTTCATCTGGAGTTCCAGCTCCAGCACTGTGGAACACATGAAGGGACCACTATATATGGAAAATGGTAGCCCCATGTTTGCAGGCACCCTTGTGTAAATTGAGCTGGTGCAATCTGCTGAGCAGGTTTGTTTGAGGTCCTAGATTTAGGATAAATCCAATGAATGGAGAGAAGAAAATGAGCATGTCATAGTGCTATTCTGTAGGCTTCAGTACAGTTGCTTCAAGTTACCTAGGAACTTAAAAAGCAAGTGGACTAAGTGGATTTTGATATTTAAAAGAAAAAAGGAGAGAGTAGGGGCAGTGTCCCTTTCTGACAGAGCATATACATCCTTGTACACATGGCGGAGGCAGGTAGAGGAGCTCAGCTCTGTGCCAGTCACCTCCTGGATGAGACTTGAGAAGGATGAACCATGGTCATGGCAGTCAGTGCTTATTGCAGGCTCTCCAGGAGCCCATGGGGATGTTGTACAATAAATGCAAACCAATCCCTCCCCCCAAAAATACTGCGTACAGGCATGCTACTGCTAAAAGACAGATTTCTAAAGGGATTTCTTGCTCATGCTTAAGCAGACTCCTGACCTCTCAGACACCTTTCTGGGTACCAATGAGTTGCTCACTGGTAGCTGGAAATGCCTCTGGTCTCATACCAGCTGTGGCTCTCAGACTTGGGACTTGCTTTTCTCACTTCTAAAACCACCAAGTTATTTTTATCTTTACTCTTGAAGTTTCAGGAAACGCCAGTGATTGCTTGGTGAAGTAGGGAAGTCAGTATATCACTATGTCAGTCCCTGCTTGCATGGGCTGCTGTTTTGTTTCTCACTAGTGCATGATGCAAAGGTTTGCCAAAACTGCTGACTCTCTCCACTTGTGAAATCAAGAGGACTGTTTGGAGAATGATCCTTTTGAGTTGTTTCCAGCGTGTGTTGCAACTTGTCTGTCTTTCCCACTCCTGTGCATGAACATTGAGTTTACTTGCTCCCAATCCAAATTACGCTTTCACTAGTGTGCTTTTGTTTTCAGTTCAAACAACTAGTGTTCAAGGTGATTTTCTTTAAACCAAACTTTGCCCATCGGATAAATGTAAGTCTTCTAAAGCTGGATCGGTGACGCACGTTGCCTTGTAATTCTGATCTGTGCTGTGCTGTGGTGTTAGGGAAATGGAGTGGGGAAAGTAAAGGCACAGTGGCATTATACACCAGAAGCCCAAAAGCTGTTTTGTTGCCTTGGTGGTAAAAGCAAGTTGGCAGTGCTGCTTACCAATGTGATTTTCTTAAACTGGCTTGGCCTAACTTGAGCCCAGATCTTTGTCCGGTGCAATCAGTGTGCCCCTTCTTGAAATGCTGGGCGCTCATGTTCTCGTGCCTTCTTGCATCTTTCAGTCCTAACTCAGAAACAATCTAAATGTGCATCTTTTGTTTCTAGACTGGAGGCCCGAAATGAAACAGGACAGCGTGTTCGCTGCTTTGTCGCAGCTCTTCCTGCTCGTTCAAGTTTTCTGGAAAAAAACAAGAGCTTTCGTCCTACCCACTGGATAAAAGAACACAGCAAAAGACACTTCCTCAACAGAAATGGTTTCCGTCGCCAAAACCTCACCAGGGATTGCCACTCTCGGCATATCAAGCACAACGGACTGTTTGTTCACCAGCCTTGCCAGCGTCAGTTCAATTACTGATGGCTCTCGTGTTTTAATCTATGATCTGATTGTTTCTTAGGTTGCTCATGTTTTCACACATAGGTGAGTGTGGTCAATGTGCAGCTGATCATCGATTCCCTCAGACACAATCACAACTAGTGCTGCATTTGTTTGATGACACATCTCCAAAAATCTCGCTACGGTCTAAATTATGTTAAGTATCGGTGTCTTAGAAGCCTGTCAGTACAGTAGCTCATGTGCTGACCTATCTACAATGTATGGATAGGTTCATAGTCTTTTAAAGAAGCTTAACTGAGATAGAAAAATCAGTTATGTCTTTGCATTAATCAAAGTGGAGTTTAAAAATTTGAAGTTAGCCATATGCTTTAATGACAAGTACTTGACAGCTTGTGTATCTCTCTGTATTAGGCATATCTGATTAAGTTCTAACAAGGAAATACTGTAGCTGCCAGTGAATATTACATAGCTATGCTGATCTGTTACAAGGACAACTAATCTGAATTGCCTAGTACCTACCTGTGTTTGCATGGAGTCTGTGTAGTTGTGTTAGGTACTTAATAAGAGTATCAGAAAAGGGTTAAAAGTCCCTTTGGTATTTCTGCAGTATCTATGGCACTGGTGTTACAGATGAAGTACCTCACAGTGGAGTGAAAGGAGAAGTGGACCTATGGGTTAAGTACAGATGCATAAGCCAGAGAGCTAAAGTGTTCTACTTGGTACAGTTTGAGCTCTCTTCCCTTTCTAACTCTTTTTATTGTTGAAGATCAATTTCTTCTAAAACCTAATCTGTTCCATTTGTTCTGTAGTCTAGTTACCCCCCCCAAAAATAGTGGATCAACTGTTCTTCTAATTCCACTGGTAGCTGACTGCTTTTTTGAAGAAGTCAGGCTGATGCTCAGCTATTTCTGAGCTGCTGATTGCTGTTAGATTTTCTTGTTTACAGGCTGAGAGTTGCTCGAAAATAGCTAGAAGAAGGACTTCTGATAGAACTTCTTCTAACTGTCTAATCTATTCTCCCACTCAATCAAGTCTGAGATCAGTTGTGACTGGAAATGAAGAGCAGTGGGTGGCAAGGAGAAGAGCATGCTGAAACTGTCTTACAGAACTAAATACAGATAACGGTATATAAAATTTGAGGCACCTCAGCAATGTTTTTAAGTCAACAGGGAGCAGAAAGACTGGATATCAATTCTGTGGGTTAGTAGGGAAGAGAAGCCATTCAAAACTAACAAATACTCAAGTATTCTTAAGTATTAATACTTAAGTATTCATTCTTAAGAACATTCTGCAAAATACTCTGTTGGGAGTAGGTGGGCACTTAAAGACAAAAAAAGCCCAGCTTATTAATAGATTGTACATTACACTGCAGCCACATGGCACTCTGAACACTGATAGGTAATCTAGGATGTGGGTTAAATCTCTTTGAAGGGGAGAGGGAACAGAAATTCTCACAAAAAAAGGGGGAATGAGTAATTTTACCTCCTTTTTATCAGTGCTCAAATGTTGTGTGGTCCTTTTTTTTTTTTTTTTCCTCCCTGTGCTGGGTGCCTGGGGCATTCAGGTGTTAATGTGGCATTCAGCCATGTCTTCCAGTAGTCCTTAGACAGAAGTTTCCGTAAGGACTCACATGGAGAGCATTGGAAATTGGGTGATGTCAATGTGAATTGTTCCAGACCTGCAACACTTGTTTTCTAAATCCATCCAAATGCTTCAGATTTTCTCAGAAGCCCAACAATTTGAATTAGTACTGATGTAGTTATAGTGTAGTGCACGATGTAGTTACTGCACGCAGTGCAGCTGGAATTGCTGGGGAGCATACCTAGTATGCAGGAAACAGCATTTCTTTCAGTTTTCATTTCTCACTTCAGTTTTGCTGCTTACCTGGGATTAGTTAGGGTTGTTGCAAGGGGATGTTGGGAAACACATGCATGTGTAAGAGCAAGTGGTGCTTTCCTGGATACACTGGCCTTCAAAACACATGGAGTTTGTGTGAACTGGGTAAGAGAACAAAATTGGTCACGTTATGAGCCTCAAAAATAGCAGTGAGGGTGTTACTGCTCTTTAAAGCCTTATGTATCCACATTCATATAAAATTTTTGTGGTCCAAATACTCTGGCTTATCTCCAAGTAGCTGTAGTTTCTCCAGTCTTGCATCTGTACATATCTGTACCTGGCATAAACTTCTACTTGCCTCAGGTGGTCTACCTTTACCACTCCAACTCTTTGTCCAGCTTAAACTTCCTTTTCCTCACTGCCAACTTTCTAGCTCAGGAAAATTCTGTGCTTTCCTGTATTATGTTTTTCTTGATATATCAAGTAACTACTTTCCTTCAGCTTTAATTTTCTTAAAGTTAAATGAAGGAAGATGATGTATCCACCTCCCTGTGTTGGAAGGAGTAAGTAATCCTTTGATCTCAACAGGGGGTGGAATTGAGAGTGTAAAGGCTCCCAGGCATTAGAATGAGAGCCTTGGTCTGTTCTTAGCAGGCAAGTAAATGCAACTTTAGACTGCTCCTAGAGTTGGGAGAAACTCATCTTTTTTTTTTTTTTTATACTACATTACTAGATAACTTTCTGGTGATGAACTCCTATATCTTTCAGGATATAAACTGTTTTGTTGCACAAAGCTGTGCTTCTCAACTTGTAATAGTGGAAACCGTGTTGTTGTGTGAGATAGTACTGCATCAATGGCTTTTTGTTAATTTGTTTTAAGTATTTATGTTGATCTAGTCCCATTTTATGCCTGGAGCTATTGGGCGATTAGATTCGTTTTGGTTTTTTGTTTTATTAGTGAGCTGTGTGGCTTTTTATATGGTTTTTGAACTGTACTAAAATGTTTTTTTTTGTTCTTGTAAAAGTGGAGGCCTTGCAGTGTCTCATACTGATTGACATTCATGAATTTTGCTGAAATGATATTTTCATATACTGGTTAACAAACAGATCTGCATTTTAAACTGTGCCTTCTAGGTGTAACTTTACACAGCAGACTTGAAGATACAAAAGGGACATTTCAGATAGGATTAATACTGTATATCAGTCTATGCATATACGGCAGCTTCTTTCCAGAGCCACTTTCTATTTGTAGCAGTCTTTTTGATATGGAAGAATGTCTCGCTCTTATTTTTAATAGTTTAACACAAGCTGAAAGCTGACAAAATACAGCACTTTGCCAAAAAGTAGCATTGCTTAACCGGTGTGTATTTCCTGAAGCAATCTTCTGTATTTTGTTTTCATGGTGCATTATGCACCGTGGGGAGACGTGATCTGAACTCTCAATAAATGGCCTATTAAAAATGTCAGTCTTCTGTCATGTCTCATGAACTTGAAATGTATGGGTGTCCTATTGGAGTGTGTTAGATAGGAGTACAGTATAGAGCAAAATCCTTGCTGTTGTACAAAGGTTTCTCTGGGAATTGATTTGCATTATTTATCTAATCTACTTATCTGCTAATATTACTTATTATCAAGTGATAATACACAGTCTAAGAGATCCCTCGCATCCCTGCCATCTGCTGTGCCTCCTGATGAGCCTGCTGAAGTGCAATAGGTGAACAGGATGGAAAGTAGGGAAGTAAGCACACATGGCAGGAAAGCTGGTATCAAGATAAACAACCCTGCTGTTACACAGGCTTGACGCTTTCCAGAGGTTATTAAAAAAATCTAGTTGCTGTTGTATTCAATTGTTGTCTGCCCACTGGCTGATGAATGCTGATGCCCTCATTGGCTTCATCCAGTGGTGGGGGTTTTGCCTCAGGACAACACGGCTACCTGTGAGATCATGACTAAGACCTGGGCAGCCTGGTCTCTTCCTGTCTGGAAAACTGTCTCCAACAGTGGGGACTGCACAACTTCTAAGAAACCTGTTCTGATGCTTGACTTTTGTAATTAGGGCCCAGAGAAGACCTTTCCATGAACTTCATTTTGGTTCTCAACTCATTGCCTTTGCTTGACCTCCCATGCACTGCTCTGACAGGTCTGCATCTTGTACTGGAATGCTGTGATTACCATTAAAGAGGTTGAGTTAGGGATAGGTAATGTGAGGCACGTAAAGACCCTGTGCAAATATGTGCAGGGGTGAGATTAGGAAAGCCCAGCCACCTGCAACTGAGTCTAAGAAAGGCTCTGTATCATGGCTGGAACCATAATGCTCTGGAAGGCAATAAGGAGCTTCTACACAAATGCCACCTGCAAAAAGATTAGGGAAAAAGTAGACCTGCTTCCAAATGGGGCAGGAGACCCTGTGTCAAAAGCATAGAGAAGACTGAATGCCATGTGTTCTTCGCTATAGAATCTAGCAGTAAGAAAGTCTTTGGAAATCATGGGCTTCTGAGGTTAGCAAAAGGAAGGCTGGTGCTTGGTTGAGGGGGACTGAGAAAAAGAACACTTCAAGAAATGGAACATAAATCTATAGGATGCATCCATAGCTAATAACAATCATTGACTCTCTAATGGTGTTGTGAGGACCCTCAGTCTTTCAGTGGTTGTAACAGTGAACAGGGTTCCTAAGGAGAGAAGGAAATCAAGTATTGTGCCTGTATTCAAGAAAGTAAAACAAACAAACAAAAAAAAACACCTGGTAATTACAGGACAATCAGAATGGTTGAGCTCAGAAAGTTGTACACAGTGACACCAAGCCTAGCTAAAGGCCATTACCTGCTGTTGTACCCAAAGTGTTTATACTGACTGTGGTGCTGGGACTGCCACAGTTCAAGAAGTGTTTGGACAATGATCTCTAACATAAGATTTGATCTTTGAGTGGTCCTGTGTGAAGCCAGGAGCTGAACTCGATCCTTGGGGGTCCCTTCCAACTCAGGGTATGTTATGGTTCCATCACTCCTATGATGGTGAACGTCTTCATGAATGACCTGGCTGTTGGAACAGAATGTGCCATCAGTAGGCTTGCAGAGAGTAGGAGAAGCTGCTGGATGCACCTGTGCTGCCACTCAGAAGGATCTTAACAGGCAGAAAAGGTGCACTGGCAGGAACATCATAAATTTCAGCAGGCAGAAATACAAAGTCCTGCATCTGAGGAAAAATTACCACTGACAATTCATACTGGGGCCAAGTGGCTGGAAATCACCTTTGCAAAATAGTCTGAGTATCAGTGGGTGCCTATGTTGACTATGAGCCAGCAGTGCACCCTCGTGGACTCAAAAGCTAAAAGCCTGCCCAGCTGCAAGAGGGAAGGACAGAGCTAACAGGTTGACAGAGATGCATCTGAGTGCTGTGTCCAATGCTGAGGTCCCCAGTATGACAGATGTGGATATGCTGCAGAGAGAGTCCAGTAAAGGGCCAGAAAGATCACAGAATCTTAGGGGACCACCCAGTCCAACCCCCTGCTACAGAAGTTCCCCACAGTGTGTTACTCAGGAAAGCATCCAGGTGTGTTTTGAATATCTCCAGAGAATGAGACACCTTCTCTGAGCAGCCTGCTCCAATGTTCTGTAATCCTTTTAGTAAAGAATTTTTTCCTCGTGTCTGTATGCAACTTTGTATGTTTCATTCTGTGCCCGTTGTCCCTTGTCCTGTCGCTGGGCACTGCTGGAAAGAGCCTGGCCCCCCATCCACTTGGCTCCCACCCTTTAGATACTTATCAGCATTGATAAGATCCCTACTCAGTCTTCTCCAGGCTGAGCAGCCCCAGGTCTCCCAGCCTTTCCTCATGAGGGAGATGCTCCAGGTCTCTCATCACCTCTGTGGCCCTCAGCTGGACTTTCTCCAGCAGTTCCCTGTCTTTCTTGAGCTGAGGGGCCCAGAACTGGGCACAGTACTCCGGATATGGCCTCACCAGAGCACAGTATAGGGGGAGGACCACCACTCTCAACCTGCTGACTACACTTCTTTTCATGCGCCCAGAATATCAGTCAGTCTTCTCCTTCTTGAACCTTGTCATTAAACTCAGAGTCGAGGGATCTTCCTGATCAAGGGTGAGGTAGAGGAGGTGCTGAGCCACAGCCTTGTCTGTGAGCACCGGCACCAGCTTCACAGGTAAGAAATTCCAGTTAGCTGGCTGCTAACCCTGTGTGGATTCAGGTGCTTTTTTCCATCACAGTTTTGCTGCTTCTTGTGTCCTCCCCCCTCCCTGAGAGCTCTAAACAAAAAACTTCCATCTGAAAAATTTGTGGCCAAGGAAAAGATGAGACATGTTCCTCCTGGTCTCACTTCATGTGCAAATGAAAGCAGTGACAGTCTGAAAGAAAAACAACCACTTTTTCTTTGGCTACTCTCATCTGATCAACCTGAATTATCTTTGAAGGCGTGTCTCCCGAGTTTATCTTTTCCTAGGAAAATCTAGATCTCTGGGTTTTCTTATGCTTCTTTTTTTTTCCCCTCCTCCCTGTGATAGGATGGAAAGACAAGTAAAACATTTCCCACTTGTGTTCTGTCAACTGTGCTGGTAACTTCAAAGAGCACGGTTCTGTCATTTCACAGAATCACAGAAACACCAAGGTTGGAAAAGACCTACCAGATCACCCAGTCCAACCATCCACCCATCACCAACAGTTCTCACTAAACCATCTCCCTCTACACAACATCCAAACGTTCCTTGAACACCTCCAGGGCCGGTGACTCCACCACCTCCCTGGGCAGCCCATTCCAGTGCCTGCCCACTCTTTCAGAGAAGTAGTATTTCCTAACGCCCAGCCTAAATCTCCCCTGGAGCAGCTTGAAGCCATTCCCTCTGGTCCTATGGACACTTGCAGCTGTCCAATCCTTAAACTGGAACAAACTGGGGAACAAAGTGTTCTGCTTAACTGAGATGATGAGACAGAATTTGAGCAACAAAGCGCCTGTCTTTCCGAAGAAAACTCTGAGGGAAAGTTTTCATTTTCAAGCGTAGGTTTTGTGTCCTGCCTGTTTATCAAAGCTGGAGTGTGTGCTCCAGCTTCCTGTACGCATAGATCCTTGCACATCTCCGATGAAGCCATGATACTAATTACTGAAAATGAACACTGATAGAAGTTCTCCATGTTGTTTCCTTGTTGAGTTGTTCATTATCTGCTTTATTTGTCTCGCTGAAATACTTTGGTGCATGTTTACAACCACAAAATGCCACCTCCACAATTCAGCGATACGTGCAAGTAGAGTTCAGGCTTCTTAATGAGAAGTAATTCTTAATGTGGCCTGGTTGTTCCCATGGCGGGCTCACAATAAGTTGTTCTCAGAATAAATAGGACTGAACCGAGACTTAGCAGTGTGTTCATAAATTTTTGTGCCTCAGCCAGTCCTTTTCTCCATGAAAATACTGTCTTGGAACTACTGCTCTATGACTAACACTTCAGAAGTTAAAGTCTCTCTAAGTGTTCCAAAGTGTTGCAGGCAGATAGATGGTTGAATCCTCAACAATCTTAATGAGACAGCTAACTATGTTTTAATTTCATGGACAAGCCAAGGAAAAAGAACCACAGAAAAAAGAACAGCAACAAAAACAGACAGATAAAAAGAACAGAACAGGTCAGATCTCGGTTTGCAGGCATGGGCAGTCTGTATTTCTTTTGAAGCTCAGCTTCTACTTTATGTCCAAATAAAAAGGTGACTCAGTCAGGCAATACAATTAAAAAATACGTAGCTACCATAGAATCCTACAATGGTCGGTGTTGAAAAGGACCTTAAAGATCATACAGTTGTGCCCAAACATAATTCTGAGTGCTAAAATAATCTCATATTCCCTAAGGTGGATTTCTGTAGAGAAATTAGTAGTCATAAAGAAGTGGGAAGGAGCCCTCAACTGCTAACAGCTGAAAGAAATAAGATGGCATTATAATTAAGAAAGGAAGGATTGATATGGGCAAAGGTATCCTGTTGTCTATACACAGCAGAGAATTTCAGCTCTAATTCACTGGTCTTGCACTGGTGGTGCAAGACAGAGAAACAGAAGTGAGGGATTTGAGTTCTGTGGCTGGTGAGAAATCAGCAAACAGCTGAATCAAGATTGATCTTTACCAAATGTTTACTAATAGTGTGCTGTTTGGTGCAGGTTATTATTTCTGGTGCATCATTCTTACATCTGGAGAGATCTACAGTGTGCCCAAATCACAGGCAAGGTCAGGGCTATGGAGAATCATTAGTAAAGCCTTAGTCTCCCAGCATTAACAATGTTTTTGCTACATTGCTTGTGAGCTGGAGTAGCAAACATTCTTCGCTTTGCATGCCTGAGAAATAAAACCCTCAGTTCAAGGCCTGCTGTGGGCATGGTCAGGTGATGTGAGTCACTGGGATGAGGAGATGTATCCCCTAGCTTTTTGGGGGCTGAGTCAGGGAGATGAGAGCTTGCCTATGTGGTCAGCAACTGGCAGCA